CATGAACATTGTCTTTTTTTTTTTTTTTTCTCACAAAAATTCATTTCACAAAACACATTCTCAAAAAGCTAGGAGAGGGGCAACAAGAGACTGTGGCAGGTGAGGAATGCTCAACATTTCACTTCGTATAGTTAAACTGGAAACGTGTCCTGGTTGAATACAAAAGTAATAACCCCGAAAGGTTCATTTGTTTACAAGCACGGCTTCGGTAAGTTTTACTAACAGTCAAACAATTTAATGTTTCTCCATGTACAATTGTTCAGAATTTGGGGTTTTCATCAACTACGGTTCATCATGTCATCAAAAGATTCAGATCTACATATGCAAGTCAAAACTGTGTCAAAGTAAAGTGAAAGCCATATACTGTGTCCACAACACCCCAGAAGTGCCGCCAGCTTTTCTTGTCTCAAGCTCATCTGAGGTAGACTGACATGAAGTGAAAAGATGTCCTGTTTCAAATAGTTTTTGTTCATTTTTTTAAATTTATAGTTTGAACATCATACAACACGTCTTTGTAATTTCTTCGAGATCAGTGTCGTTTGAAAAGGTTTTGTAAATCATTGTGTCCTATTTTCATTTACATTTTACACAATGTCCTGACTTCAACCGAATTGGGGTTTGTAGTATATAAGAACAAGTCTAACGTGTTTGGAACCAAGTTTTCAGTTTTCATAATCGTGTTACATCTTAATTGCTCTTCCACTATGTTTGAAATGTGACTGCTGTACAATGTTCCAGTGCTAAGTCAGGCCAAGTAGTAGAGGATAAATCATCTTTAACCACAATAGTGTATATGCAGCACCTATTTCACACCTAGGTGATATTTATCTTTTTCTTCCTGTCAGAGTCTAAAATTGCCGTTGTCGATTCTGTCAAAGACATTGCCAGGCAACGTGTTTTTGTTCTTAGTTGCACTGATGAATTATCGGCATTTACTGTGAGCTTCTACCTATTTTTTTACTGCACGACACACGCACGCACACGCATGCACACACCCTCACGAATATCTTTTTTCAGGATGAGACAGTGGTTGCCCCTAAAGCTGAACAAAATGACAAAATGTGACGATGAAAGTTGAACAAAATCTCTGAGGTTGTGTCATGATTCTGTTTGTGACCAACAGGTGGCACTGTAGGGTTCTCCTTGCAGCTGCACACCTGTTGGTCGTTATGTCGTTATGTACTGATTTAAAAGGACTCCCGCACGACCACTCAGTGTCGGGTCATTGTTCCTCTTTGTTGCTGTTTGTGTTTGCTTGATTGCTGCTGTCAAGTTTGTTTCAGTCATGTTTTGTCATGGTTTTTGTTTGATACTTTGGACTCTGTTTGTTTAGGATTTAGTTTTGTGTTTTATCAATACACTTCTTCAAATACACCCTGCTCCTCCCTCCTGCCTGCTTTTTGGGGTCCACCACCACCACGCAACGTGACAGGTTGAGCTGCCATTCATGTGTGATAAGATTCATCATTGTAACCGACTTTAAAAAAATAGCTTTTTCGGTGGCTTTTCTGTGTTTAAGCCATTTATGAAGCCCGTAAAACAAAACTTGGGGGAATGTATCAAAGCAGTATACTCGTTGTCCCTGTTGCTTAAGCATCAATAATAAAAGAAAAACTGAACATGCAGTCGTAATGTGAAGAGATTCACCTCTCAGCAACCTCGCTCTGAATGTTCATCACCGTAACCATGAACCTGGTCGTGCATCATCAGAGTTAAAGGGTGAGTACACAATTTATTGCTTCAGTTTTACTATTCAGTGATTCATCTCTTTTAACGTTTGGTTGACAGAACATATTCAAAGAAAAGTTAACTTGCATCCAGCAAACTCCCTTAAATGCTACGTGTCCATCATGTCATCACGCCTTTCACTTTGAATAGAGAGCTCGCTCTCATTCACTCAGCAGCTTCTCATCCACTTGGCCGTCACATCGAGTTGCATCCAAAGGCCTCCGGCATCTGCCCCAAGCCGCCCCCCTACATGGCTGGTTCCACAACCGTTGGACTGAAGGACCACCGAGCCTCTGGACTGCGGCCGGAAGACATCTTCATCAGGGTCAAGACCACCTGGAAGGTTCCAAGGGATGCTCCTCGCCCTCCTTTTGGAGACCTGCAACCTCCCATTCAAGTGAATGGACGCGACAAACGGTACACCTTGTTCGCTAAAAGTTTTACCCCGAGCTTCACTATTTCTTCCAGTAGTATATAGAAAATTGTAAATATGGTTGACATCCAGAGGAATTGGGTAATTTTCACCACTGGATTAACTTGTGCTACCCCACTAGGACATTGGTTCAGATCTACAAATTTAGATTCTACCATGGTGGAAGTGTGGTGACTGCACAACAGTGGACATACCTAAATTTATTTGCATTGTGGATTTGAGTACGCTGTCACTGTCTATTTTTTTTAATCTTATGACAATGTTTACAATTTCTTACAATTTCATCAAAGTTCAACCCTCTAAATTTAATGAGAGCAGTGAAACATGGCACAGAGTGCACCTGGAAATTTGGTCACTTCCTTTTAATCATTTAAGAAAAGCCTTGCCACCTTTAAGGTGTACATCGTACACCTATATATTATCATGCAAAACTGGTTGTTTGGTCATTCCCTTTTTTTAACTCTTGTCACGCGTTCCAGATGACTTGCAGATTATTTATTACTGACGTAAATCTCGAGTTTGCGGACTTGCAAGATTTATTAGCTTTATATGAAAAATGCAACAGATACAGGTTGCCAGCCAATTACACGGCACACATAGTTGAATAACTACCCGGGCTCACAATCACACCTCGGGAGAAGTTAGTGTTCCATGCATGTTTTTGGGATGTGAGATGAAGTAAATGAAAATTACACACAGGAGGGCCGGAGCTGGAATCGAACCACTGCACTGTAAGGCCGATGTGCTAAACGGTCTTGCACCGTGCCGCCCTAAGTAAGACATATGGAAGTCATAAGTTGAATGAATGAGGTGTCTGAGCGCGTGAATGAGTTGAGTAAAAAGGCGGCGACCAGTCGAAAGGCGCTCGATGACGTCACTTTTGGGCCGCATATTGTTTCAATGGTCTGTGTAAGATTACACAAACCGATTCATTAAAATAAAAATTACACACACCATTGTTACAACATCGGTGTGCCGTACAACTTCACAGCTGTCGTAAAACCCGTTGGAATAAATATAATGCTCATGTCAGAAATACCTTTATTTATTTCTTTATTTATTGAGCCTGGTGTTCTCATTGCCTCGGTCGCTTTTCTAGAGAGCTTGCCAATCACCATTACCTTAATATAAAAGCATGACAAACAAGATTTTTAATGACTTTGTACGCAAAGAGAATCGGGTAAAAATGAAAAAACGGATCTTTAAAAGCACAAGGACAAATTTCGTGTTTTACGTCAGAGAAAGGGAGAAAGCGTTTGTTTTTTCCAAGTTCAGTCTTAAAAATAACAAAAACGGAAGTTCATCCGATTATCCTAGTTCCTTCTTACGTCCTTTTTAGTTCTTTCGTTCATAATAACCTTCAGAAAGCCAAACACACATGATTGTCTTGCCTATCATTCCTGACTTTTTTTAGGGGGGGATGTATTCGTGAGGGGGGGGGGGGGGCTTTCAAGAGGTCCCCCTTGCGGCCAAACCGCCATGCATCGATTACATAGCTCCGTTATGAGACAGTTCCCCATCCAGTCCAACCTAGAACCAAGTGTCAATTGCATTCCCCCACACTCGGCAAGCGGCATGGCCGACTCCCTTGGAAAGATTTGCTACGTCTCTCCAAAGACGTCTCCACAAAGACTCAAGGAGCGTGGCAAGTGGGCCACCAAAAGCGAGTTCATCCTGTCAGTGGCTGGTGCAATTATCGGACTTGGGAATGTTTGGAGGTTTCCTTATTTATGCTACAAGAACGGCGGTGGTAAGAGTCAATGTTTGTTTGTTTGTTTGTTTTAAATTGGAGTAGTATGTAACGCTTCGGTTGAAAACACCTAAAGAAACTTTTTGCACTGCATCTAAACTCATTTTAAATCCCGTCTTTTTTTTTTTTTACTTAACCTTATTTGCTTGTTATGTACGTAGCGTGAGTTTTTCATCAATGGGGAAAGTTTATCACGCTCACAAATAAATCGCTTTTTTGTCACCGGACCAATGTATGGGTAAAAGTAAACTAAAGTCTCTGCCAAAGTCCCTGGAAGCCATCCCCTGCAATACTAATCTTCCCTGCGTGCCCTCTGCTTCGCTTTTGATGCAAATGGCTTTGACAGCTTCTAAAAGACTAAGAAAATAACGTGCAGCACGTGTCAAAATCACATTCTTGGCTGAATACTCCCAGTTTTTTTTAATCTCTTACCAAAGCCTTACATTTGGTATTCTGTTCAACGTAACACGTTTGTTGTGTTTTCACGTACAAAACCCTTTGCCCATCAAACGGAAACTGAGCTGCTTTTAATCTTTTTTTTTTTCCCAGTTTGTGTCCAAGAAATGATGAGTGATAGAGCATCGTGATTTGACTGGGTCGAGCACATACACTGATGTGATCCCCATCTTATGTTAAACATTTTTCTAGTAAACATTTACGAATAAAAGTGCTGATATAAGCAGAGAGTGTTACCTACGAATCAAAGAAAAACAGGTTAAAAAAAATTGTTTATTTCATCCAGGCCCACCCACACATAATGTCGTAACACCTTTTTTGTTTCTGAGTCAGCAGGTGAGACATGCTGAAAAAATGTTGGCAAGTCAGTTGTTTGGTAATGTTCAAGCAAGGTTAGGCAAAAAAAAAAAAAAAAAAAAAAAACCTTACATGAATGTTACCAAACAGCACCGTAAGTCGAGTAAAACTGTTATACGTTGATGTGACCAGTTGCTAATTAATTAAAAGGAAATTTCAACAATAAAGGGGAGACAAAGTCACACATTTTGACAATAATATATTTTAGGTGGCCCACTAGTCCAAACGCGGTATTGTGATGAATATTTATGGACTATGAATTAAGATGAAAAATCTGCCTGTTTTTATCCTTCTCAGGGACCTGCCATTTTATTTTGCCTTGTACTGCCACTTGCTGTCGACTGAAAATGACAGCACAGTCCCTAAAGGCACAACTTGTGAAGGCTACGTGGCCGAACCCAGTGAAGATGTGAGCCGGCACAGTCGTTACATGGGCCTTTCCTATAGCTAGCGAGTGGCAGTACAAACCAAAATGACATCAGAGTTGCTCAGGGCTGAGCTAACGGCTTCCGAAATTATGCTTCTTCTGCCATTAAATACATGTTCCCTCGCTCCGCCTGCTGATCCTTTGTATCTTGGCTTGCAGGAGCATTCTTCATTCCATATGTCCTGTTTCTTGGGACCTGCGGTATCCCTCTATTTGTCCTGGAGACGGCTCTGGGCCAGTACACCAGTCAAGGGGGAATCATGTGCTGGAGGAAGATCTGCCCCTTGTTTGAAGGCAAAGAACTTTTTCTTCTCCAAAGAACATTAGAAGGAAACACGAAAGAAATGGTTTTAATGCCGGTTGTCATTTTCAGGCATCGGATACGCCGGCCAACTCATCCTTTTCTATGGATGCATCAGCTACATGGTCATTTTAGCCTGGGCGTTTCTCTACTTGTTCTCTTCTTTTTCCAGAGAGATGCCGTGGGCAACATGTGATAATACATGGAACACAGGTACTGAAATTGCATTTGGGAAGTGCGGGAGGGGGCAACGGGGGAGTTCTAATGTCTGCCATGTTTCATTGTGTTGACAAAAAATGAAATGTCTCTGTCTTAACAATATGTAAATATTTCAGACTCTTGCGTCGTATTGAGCAACTATAGTGCCAATTGGACTTCCAAGATGAACATATCATCATCTGTTGTGGAGTTTTGGCAGTAAGTTTTTAGATGTTTTTATTATTCTTTGACCGTCAGTATGATAAAACAGTGCAGGGCAGCCAGATTTGGGAAAAATAAAAAGTTCCGGATCCTTTCATGGAAATCCATGTCACGAATTCAAACTGCTATTAGTGTGAAATTTGACTGGGCCAATCAACAGAAAAAGAGGAGCTGGAATGAAGGTGTGGCCCCATCGAGATTAGCATGGTTAGCCACCATAGCAACAGTTTTATTGAGTATTATTCCCAATGAAAAAAACCTACGCCTCCTAATTATTCTCTTCCTACCTAAGACTTCATTGGTCCTTACAGACGCCGCGTGCTAAACATATCTCCTGGCATTGAGGTCCTGGGAAAGGTCCAATGGGAGCTTTCTTTGTGCCTTCTTCTTGCTTGGATCATCTGCTACTTTTGTGTCTGGAAGGGGGTGCGATCCACCGGGAAGGTAAGAAAGACTGCTACAAATATTGAAGATGGACATTCCATCCTTGGTGTTTTTGCAACCTCCAATGTTGACCACAATCTTGACAAGTTGACTTCCAAGTCGTTCCAAATTCAAAACACATTTTCCTCATTGGAAATATCTTATGAAAAGTGACGGCCATGCAAATGACTATTTATCGAGTCCGAAATAACAGTCATGACCATGTTTTTTTTTTTCTCATCGAATGATAAGTCGCTACATTAATTATTGTGACGTTATTTCAATATTACTTAAAAGTGAAGAAAAGTCAGCATTTTCTTTGAAAATAAAAACACATATTTATTTTAGCAGGCCACATAAATTGATGAAGCCAGCTTAGAGTTTGACACCTCTGATATATTTTCCACAGTTTTTTTTTTTTTTTTTTTTTTTTTAGAAAAAAACAAAACTCTTAGTAACTTGACGATATGATTGTATGGTCAGAGACGGGAGGTATGTATGCTGGCCACAGGTGGTGGAGTGGTTATGGTCCACATACAGCAAGGCCCCGCCAACTTCACAGTCGTCCCCTGCTGCTTAGTATGACGGCATCACTCTGGCTGTTCTTCTGTGCAGCCCCAAATACTCCCCAATTGCTTCAACACAAAAATGAAGTGTGTAGCAATTAGCCAAATGTGACATCAACCAAATACCGTGACTTTTCTTTGGTCCCGTTGCATGATTTCTGTGGACAGCTGGACTTTGATGTACACATTGTTCACCTGATTTTCATTTAAGCAGCGAGATGTTCATGGGTCATCCCTGCAGGACATCTTTCACCCGCCCATCTTTTATTATTGTGCTTTCGGAAACAATAATATGTGTAGCGGCTTCATTTTTCAAACCGTACGGGTATCCTAACGGAGACCATTAGCATACTAGAGCTGGTAAGGACATAAGGTTTCTTCTTTTGGCAGAATGGATATTGTTTTGGATGTGGAAAAAAATAGACATTGAAAGACTATCATCCCAAATATGAACGGTACAATGAGAAAAAAAGTGTATATGTATGTTTTTCATGGATAAACCTTTCTTGTCATCCCCCTCACAACGACCTATGTGATTTGGGGATTCTTTCATCTTTATATGGGCTGTTTTGTCGGGCCAGAGTTGCGCTCCGTAGGGGGCTCGGCTCCCACGTAACTTGGACGGCAGGTCAGTCCCAGATGAGTTCAACTATGTACAGTGTATCTAATTGGCAACGCCTCACTTCCAGAAAGCTACATTTTGTGTGCCAAAGGGATTGTCGGATAGAGTCTGTTATAGATAAAGTATCTGTGTACTTTGGGGACAGTTTGTTCATCTGCATGCTTGTCAAAACAGGAATGGCAGACACTGGAGCTGCTCATTCACTGTCTAGCCTGAGCTATATCAACAGCAGCGGATAGATAGATGGTAAACATAGGCAGACGTGATCTGAAAATAGGCTCTGTCACGACCCTCTTAGACCTTGATCGTGTATGCGCAGTCGTAAAACAGCTTGCTGTTGAAAATCAACTTGCATCAGTCTTTGTTGTTGTTTTGTTTTTTAAAATGTAGTTATAAACTCTTCATTCATCTATTCAGGCTACCTACTTCACAGCAACCTTTCCCTTCGTCATGTTAGTGGTGTTGTTTGTCAGAGGAATGAGCCTTCCCGGCGCCCTGCATGGCATCAAGTACTACTTGTACCCCAATCCCGCACGGCTCGCTGATCCACAGGTATTAAATGCATTTGTTGACACTTACAAAATAGGCGCACGCTTATTTTGTTTTGAAACGCTGCTGTTGTGCATGGGATAGGTTTGGATGGATGCTGGAACTCAGATATTCTACTCCTACGCCATATGCTTGGGATGTCTAACCACACTTGGGAGCTACAATAAGTACAACAACAATTGTTACAGGTGAGCATTTTACATTTTATATGACGCCATTTGACAATTTTGAAGCGTGAAACCTGACAAGCGCCATTTTGACAAAAATAAAGCCATGCCGACCACAAGACTACCTAGCCCTGCAAAACCAGACAAGTCTTATGAAAAACCTCCTCCAAAATAATGGTTTGGGTTCAGAAACCGACAAGTGCCTCACATGCGTTTTGCTACAGATAGCATCTTTGTAATTTAACACTGTCACAAGCGCCTACAGTACATACTGATGTCATCACAAATTCATTACTAGAGCTGTCGCTGTTGAATTTTTTTTTTTACAATAAATTATTCTAGTGGGTTTTTTATCGAATGGTTACAATTTTATTTTGCATCAAGGTGCCTTACAAAACCATCATGCCCCACCCTGTTTATTCACCAATGAGTTTGTTAACATATGTGGTATTTGCAAATGTCTTATTTTGATTTAAACATACCCCCCTCACCCCCCAATGAAAAATCATGTGACCAAACTCAGAAAACGAGTGAGCCGTGATTGGTTGTTACTTGAGCACTGAGCAACTGTGATGTCATTTTCAGAGGACAGCAAGTGGCAAAAATGGCCACTGCATGAGATGAATAAAAACAGGAAGAGTTTTCATCTTAATTCATATTTCACAAGTGCATATTAATCAGAATACCATGTTTCGACTAGTGGGGGGCGCATAGAAAATATTTATTGTTCAGAAAATTTTTGATTTGACTTCCCTTTTAAGGGTTAATTAAGTTAAGGGGCAGTGTTAGTTTTCACACACTAGCTTCTTATGTATTTGTATTCACAAAGTTTAATGATTTCAGCATAATGTCATAATTGTGTGATCGTTTTTTGAAAGAAAATTATTTTCTTGGAGTTGTTTGTTTTTTGAGTTGAAATGAAATCCAAGCGCTCTTCGATAAATGTTAATTTTTTTTTTTTTTTAATGAGCCTCCTTATTACTTAATTTAACCTCAAACCTGAATTGAAAAAAAAATTACTCAGTTGAAAAAAAATGTAAAAAGATGTCTGCTTTTGCATTTAAACTCCTCCTTTGTTTCCTTTCGCAAAGGTCGCATACCTCTTTCTAGTTATAATTTTCAATACTGTTAGGCAATATTGTTATGCCCAGCATTTCAACAAAAAAACTTGATTTGTACAATGTCATATATATGTCATTTTTTCCCGATAATGGTTTCCTGGCCATAAAATAGCTACTCAATGATTTTTTTTGTGTGTGTGATTTCCAGAGACTCCTTCTTTCTTTGCTTACTGAATAGTGGGACCAGCTTTGTTAGTGGCTTTGCTATTTTCTCAGTTCTGGGCTACATGTCCCAAAAACAAGGTGTGGACATCGCCTTGGTAGCTGAGTCAGGTATGGCCTCACTCGACATGCATGACAAGTAGAAGAGTGGAAGCCTCTGTTTCAACCTGGGTTAACTCCGCAGGTCCAGGTCTTGTCTTCATCGTGTACCCACAAGCGGTGAGCCTCCTGCCATGGCCTCAAGTGTGGTCTGTGTGTTTCTTCACCATGATCATCCTGTTGGGAATCGACGGTCAGGTCCGTTGAAGCCTCTGTGACATTCCCTCAGATACAGCATATTCAGACATGATCCTTCTCCATTTGGCTGACTGCTTGTTCTTTTATCATGCCTCAGTTTGCTGGACTTGAAAGCATCATGACCTCTATCACGGATATGTACCCTTCCCAAATCCAAAAAGGATACCGGAGAGAGCTTATTTTATTGTTTATCTGTGTTTTTTGCTATCTCTTTGGCAACTTTTTGGTGTCACAGGTAAGAATTGAGTCTAAGTAGACGAATTTATGTTAAACTATGATGATATTAAGGATCTAAGATGTATTTCCATCAATTATTTTGACCCTTTAATCAGACCAGTTAGTCAAAAATGGTGTTTTGGTACACCTGCCTGATTTTGATGCAGCCAACATGGGTTCAGTTCCAACTGAGTGACGATGAGGATGTGAGTGTGGTAGTCTGTCACGATATGTGTGCCGTGTGATTGACTGCCCACCAGCTCAGGGTGTCGTGGGTGTGTCATTTCTATTTGGGAAGTCTCATTATTCAGGTGTGGAAGGGCTAACCAAAGTCAAAAGCCAAAAACATGCTGAATAAGCAATTTAGCAAAATGTGTGGGAAGCCCCCCCCCCCCCAAAAATACTGTGTCGTATTCCTTCCATGACTGAAAACACTCACATCTTAAATCATCTTTCCCCAATGAAATTAATGAAAATGTCTTCATCTGTTCCATCCCCCATCCCCAAAAAATGGCTGGTGAATCATAATGAATCATATATTTCAGAATCGGATTAGAACGAATCTTGCAATTTGGTTGCGTGCGTTTCCCCTTGTATAATGAGCTCAATAGGTGTCCGCATTCATCGAGTGGAGGCAGGCAGGCTCCTTCCTATGCGATTGGGAATAGTTAGCCAGCTAATAATGAACATTAAATAAACTGTGAAGCAGTACGGAGCCCATCCCGGCAGTGAATCTACGCTTCTTCCTTTAGTTTGCTGCCGGCCTCGCACTCACTCTCACTAACGAAGAGTGTTGGACACTTTGAGCCGAGGAGAGCCTGTCTCCTCAGCTACCTATAGCTAGCTTAGCTATCAGATGTATCTGGTTTGCGGCAGTGAGGATTTATCATTTAAAACACCAATAAGCACGATAACCGATTCACATTCTACCTTTGGGCGCAATGCGGCAAGAGATTCTGGTTAGAGGAAGCCATTTTCAACAACAAAACTTTCAAAAATTTAGACGCGGCAGCTGTGTCTAGCTCCCAACTGGTTCTGTAGATACGTTTTCAAATATGTGAATGTCTTTGGAAAGCACTTTGTGCACCATACCGTGTCGATAAAGCGCTATATAAGTGGATTCCATTTGCCGTTTTGATCAAACTGGATTTTTCATTTGTTCCCTAGTGAGGATAAGCGGTCCGGAGAATGAATGACTGAATGAGTAACGGAAGGACTGAATGAATGGACAATGATGGATTTTTTTCAGAAAAGTGTGAACTTAACCCCTTCGAATACATTCAGAAGTCATTCACTGCTGTCAACACAAAGAGCAAAACGGGGTTTTGGGTGGGAATACGAGCTCTACTGTCTGTGTTGCTCTGCCGTTTCGACGTTTGACGTTTTGCATTGTTTGTTAGCATAAGGCTAAACGGACTGCCACAAGGTGAAGCTATGTGATTGATTTAAATACAGAACGTGTCATTCTTGGTTTCTTTATTCTTCATTTTGTTTTAAAGTAAACTTCAACTGGGAGTTGAAATAAACAGCGAGAAGCGTCTTTTTTTAAGGAACCGACCACCATAGGCCAAACTGCTGTTTGTTGTGTAGTGACTTAAATTCACTGCCGCCATACAACACACATCTCCAAATTGGGCCGAACAACAGCTCGCATCTCTTAATTAAAAAAAAAAAAAAAAAACGTGAAAGTCGTGTGACTAATTCAAGACACTGACAAAATCCACAGCACTATTTTCTTGTTGGGATTCCGATTTGCTTTGAGCTTCAAATAGTGTCAGGTATGTGCCAGATTGGCACTTATGCACATGGGTAGTGCAACTGTGCTGAGTTTGTATGCGGCCCGAGTGTCAACATGCCAGGTTTGCCACCACCCGATTAAGGTCTATGCAACTGCACAGCTCCTGATTTAGGAATGTGATGCCGTCCCACAGCAAAATGTGACAGGGCTGGCTGGCACGAGAGCGAATACCCACATGATTAGTTTTGGCACATTTTAGTGGGCTCTACCCACACATTTAGCAGTGTTGGCCATTCCTCAAATGCACAATCCTGACATGTTGTCCCTTGTTCTGAAAGGGCTTTCTAGTGACACACAGCAGCATTTGGTATGATTAAAGAGGAGAAATAAATTGAAATATAATTTTCAACCTTTTTGGAATGAGTTCAGAATAAACTTTTTTTTTTTTCCATTGTAGGCCGGCTCATACATTCTGCAGATTTTTGATCACTATGTCTGCAGTGGTCCTACTCTTCTTTTGATGGCAGTGTTCCAGTCAGTGGTTATTGGATGGATTTATGGTAAGACACTTTTAAGGCGAATGGCTCTCATTACTGCATGCTGTGAAATTTATACAGTCTCAGTTCCACATCTTTTAAACCTTATAACAAAATCCAGAAAAATATTTTTGCCATATCATGTTTTAGATATTTGTCGTATTCCATTTATAAGCATTATGTAGATTACATCTGAAAATGAAAATTTGGAAAAAATCATATTTTAAACTTGCAGTATCAAATTTGATACAGATGATTTAATGTAATATAAAGAATGAGTTACATAATGAAAATGCATGTCTCAAATAGGATACAAGTGGCATTATAGGGTTAAAGTTGTAAGTTGTCGAAAGAAAGTATCAATTCGACTAAGAAAGTACTTCAAATACGATGTGACAAATAGTAGAGCTGACAATCATGTTAATGTATAGGCGACAAACGAGGCAGCCCAGTTGTGCGCTCAGTTGCTTCAAAACACAATCAATAACTTCCAGACAATAGACAGAATTCTTAAACATCAATTGATCTATTATTATAATCTTCTTCACTATAATTATTACATTACACTGTATTATTAAGTATTATACATTTCACTGGGTGTAGGCTTCCCTTGCCTTATTACTTAATGCAGATGAATCATGATAATAATACATTTTATTTATAAGCGCCTTTCAAAACATTCAAGGACACTTTACAATCAAGTACAAAACAATCAAACCACAGATAAAACTATCAATTATAAAAGAACAGATGTCATTTAAAAGGAGTATGCAATTTGGAATAGGTGGGTTTTGAATGTGGGAAGAGAATCAATCTTACGGAAGTTGGGTGGAAGTGAGTTGCAGAGTTTGGGGGCATAGCGGGTGAAACCTCTGGACCCCATCGTGTTGAGACGGGCAGACGGGACTGAGAGGTGAAGCGAGGATGAGGATCTGAGGGAACGAGAGACAACGGAAATTTAAAGATGATCAGACAGAATATGCTGTCTGATTAAAAATAACCACGGGATCCATTACGCTATGTCAACTTTGTACAGCTATATTTGTCATGGAGTCCATCCCTTTGGAGCACGCAGTATATGTTGTAAGTATTAGCTGGAGGCAGTACGCTTGTCTTTTTTAGGTGCTGAGCGCTTCAGCGACAACATTGAGGATATGATCGGATACAAACCTCTGCCGTTGATTAAGTATTGTTGGCTCTACGTGACACCTGTGATATGCAGCGTAAGTACAGCAAAGCACATTTCGTTCGTGGACGTATGCGCGTTCACGTCTCACATGTCCTTTCTTTCCTTTGACAGGGAACACTTGTGTTCTTGTTGCTGAAATACACACCGCTCAAGTTCAACAACACTTACGTGTATCCTTGGTGGGCCTATTGGTTTGGCTGGTTCCTTGCTTTGTCTTCCCTAGTTCTGATCCCCTCCGCCATGATCTGCAGAGTGGCCAAAGGAAAAGGGAGTCTCTGGCAGGTCTGTGCTTCAGTGAGCCGCTATCGCCTTACATATTTGGTCCTGAACGAAATGTCACGTCCTTGTGTGCCTCTAGCGTCTGAAGACAAGCACCCAGTGTGCAGATGATCTCCCAATGATGGCGAAGGAAATGGCGACACTCCGCATTGCACTGAATGCTCACGATGATGGCAAAAACAGTAATATTCGGTAAAATAGCATTGGTTGAATGACGTTCTACATACATATATACTGTACATACAGTATGTACTAGATCAGGCTGCTTACTAAAAATTATGCGACCTATTCGTATCTATTCTATGCAGTATTGGGTAGACAGAAAACTCAAGTTTGGAAAGTTGTTTTTTTTTTCTTTCTTTTTTTTTTTACAAATTAGTCTATTGAAAGTGTTCTTATTACGCTACAGCACACTAAATCTCTGTCCAATTCGCGGTTTGGCATTCACAGATTTTTTTTGGGGGGGGGTGACCCTATCCACTTTTAGTCGCTGAAAAACTCACCTAACTGATTTTGTGCTCTTGCCAAAGCTATGTCGAATGCCATAATATTGTTTTGGTATCTTTTGGCATCTTGGGACAATGAACTACATTGAAGTTAGAGGAGGAGCTTTATTTAGTCACGCCATAGCCGTGTCTAATGGGGAATAAGTGGTTTGCTGTCATCTTCTGGCGTTTATGCGCAATTACAAACCTTTTTGGATGGGCATCAATTATACGCGGCAGGGCTCGTTTCCCATCATTGCAAATAGTTGCGATTCACCAAATGTAACTCTGGTTGATTCAGAATTTGAGAGCCAATCACAGGTTCGTGGCAGCATGGCTTAGTGGTAAAGTGGTCGTCTCCCAACCCAGAGGTTGTGGGTTCTATCCCTTGTGACCATGTCAAAGTGTCCTTGTGCAAGACAATGAACCCCCAGTTGCTGCTGCATCATCAGTAGGTGAACGAGGAGTCAGTGTGAAGCACTCTGAGTGCCTTCTAGATGGAAAAGTGCTCCACAAGTGAAAGTCCCATTTAACCAAGTTGGACAGTTTGGAAAGGGACCAAAATTGGGGGAAAGATAGGCTTCTGAAGTCGCAAAAAAACAGCGGATACACATACTGTACACGTATTCAATGTACTTGACTAGAATTCAGTTCAACACCAAAGACCAAAGGATTAAATCTGTCATATTAGTGCTTAACTTCTTTTTATAATTACGTGACAGTTAATGTGGCATTTGTGAGGTTTCTACTACATCCTTCTCATTCTTTATGAAAGGTAATAAGAGAGTGTTTTGTATTTTACTAGGAATTCTTTAGGACAACTAATGCTAGTAGGACAACTACATGTTCTTACTGAGGCAAAACCAGGCTCAGAGTGTCTAATCTGCAACACCAGAGGAATACCCGGTGGGCTCGGCTCCTAGGGCTGCTATTATAGTCTATTTTGGGTCCATTTTGAAATCATCAAACCAACTGCCTTTGGTAGCTCGAGCTGTGTTATTGCCTTCTGTTTACAACTACATTTCCACATTGTATAAAATGGGTAGGCCATTACAATATATAGACAGTGTAGCACTGACAAACGTTGTTACGAAGGTTGTCACCAAAAGTCCTAATTATTTAAAACCAAAAGTACCAATAATTGAATACACAACTAGAAAAAAAAAACACCACTCTAACTATATGTCTTTACAAACACAGTCACAAGTGTTAATTGGAACTGGAACAAAGCATTGCTCAAAGGACTTTTTGGAAAGCCGTTTGAGTATTACTAACCACTAGTGTTGCACATTTGGATAGGGACTAACAATCTTGGAACAAAAATAGGCTTCTAAAATTGCACAAAAGAAAAAAAAGTTGAACTGCATACACATGCATGCAAGCATTGAATGTACTGTACCTCGCTAGTTCTCAGTTCAGACAGCACCAAAGGATGAACTATGTGTTGCATTGGTGCTTTGCTTCATTTTACTACCGTGTGTTATAAAAATAAGACTTTTGAGGAATCTCTAACACCCTCCTCATTTTTTTTTTTTTATAAGCGAGTGTTTTGTTGTTTTGACATTTATATCTAATATAGACAATATTAATATACTGTAGTCTCTTTTTTTGGCCAGAATGTTGTTTTGGTCTTTTCATCTCTGTGTTATGCAAGTGACCTTTACCAAAGACACTGACACACCCTTGTGTCATATAAAGTGGGGTACATACATACCGATAACCTGATCTCTCTCAACAGAGCATTTTCTGTCCTTTCGATCAAAGGTCAGTAAAGACGCGATTGTTGGATGCCTCTGAAAGGTTATCCTGTTGTGAGGGGTTTGTTAACAGGGATTTTTTTTTTCCTCTTTCCGGAAATGTTAAACCTGTTCAATATTTACAATCGCAAATCCTCATGTGTGTGGTCAACGATTTTGGACAAACCAGGGATTCCGTGATTGTGACGTGACCTGAGGCTCATGCTGTTGCCAGACACAAAATAAAGGAATAAGTGTTGAGTGTTTGCGTTGATAGTTTTACATCACGTGATGGGCATTTGTCCGCTATGTTGAAAGTCAAGATCGGGAGGATAAGCTAGGTTCGAAATGCAGAGAATTTTATACCAATTTATGTTCACTTTTCCCGTATAACCCTAATCAGTTCATATTAGCCATGTACTGGTAATAATTTTTTCCAGTTTCCCTAAATGTGCTGACTGCTAAAAGCTGAGAGTATAGAGAAATGTTACACAACACGATGACAAAGTGGCGGTCATAAATTCGAACATCGCTCGTCACCTAGCTGTGGGCAAAAGACAAGTGGAAATAAAACTGAGAATAGTTGACACCTTGGCTTACTTGATCTTAAACAGCATTGATTTTGCCTACGTAGACAGCCGTTACGATGGCAGGTGTTTGCTGCCATTCCAGTTATTACATAATTCTACATTTTTGACATGTCCCGTGATACCACAGCAACAATCGATCGATATCTAATACAACATATGTATTTTATAATCTGTGTTACTTCAGAGTACCAAACAAAAATATATGGGCCATTGGGAAACCTTAACTTCTGCTTTGTTTTTTTTTAATCTCAGTTGAAGCAGTTTAGTCCCATCCAGGCTTTGATTTTGCTTCAGACAGGACAAAAGTGACCTGAAGGAGAAACCGTCGTTTTTGCTTGGCGGGACATTGATGTGACTGTCATCCGCATAGCAGTGAGAGGAAATACCATATTTTCTGAAGATTGAACCCATGCGGAGTAAATACAATGAAAACAGCAGGCACTCATTAAGCAGCGGAACAAAACAACTCGCCAAAATCCTACATGGCAGGCATGGACATGTTCAGAGGTGTGAGATGTCATGGAAAAACTTGAAATGTGATGATCAAATAAGCCAAGCGTTTGCTTCTTTTACTTTTGTCCACCACCGCCCCCACCTCCGCCGCCACTCTTTCTTTTTTTTTTTAAAAATTTGCAGGCAGTCGAGATGCCCTGTGGCACTATGCTGCCTCTCACAGGTCAGTGTTGGTACTACGCCAGACATTTGGGTTAAGGGAGCAGAGGGGCGTTTGTCGCCGGATATGTTTGTGTGTGGGGTGCTGTGCTGGTTATCTGTGTTACACTACACTACTGCACCCTGCATAAGGTGCTTTTTTTTTTTTTTTTTTAACATGATTTTCGTAATCAAAGCACACAGTTTCTGCACAGATATTTCTTTGCTTGCTTTTTACCATCCTAAATTTCACCATCCCTATTTCGCTTTGAATCTTTTGCAGGCCTTAGTGTCGGATATGGAGGTGTTGTTGTTTTGCATACTGTCGAAATGTGTGTACTGTGTCCATTTTCAATATAGCTCCACCATTTTTGGAGCTAAAAACAGAGCCTCTCTCTTTCCTGCTTACTCCCTCTTTTGGACGCACAGCGGGTCCAGCAACACTTGGCTTCGTTCCCTGCACCATCTCGTTAGTTAAGGCCGTCTCTCATTTGACCACGTGCGCGCTGCTGGGTGTCATGGCGCCAGTTTGGACATTTCCACTTCATTTCCCTTTTGGCACCTTCTCCATGCTGCCCTCACTTTTGTAGAATGTGAGCCAAACAGCATGCATAAGCACGCTACGAAACAAGCAGACTAAATTGTAAGTTCAAGCCTATGCACATTTTCTACTTTGCTATAAAAGAAGTTTCCTATCAAACGGGTATTTTCTCCTTTGTTTTTTGGTATTTAAAGCTCTACCTTTTCTTCATCTGGGAAATGGACTGTTGTGATGTCACATTTGTGGTGGTCAGTCAAATAGGTGTTGACAAAAGACTCTAAATGCAGCCTTGGGTCTTGGGAGCTGTTGCTACGGAAAAGAATCCACACAGCAGGGGGCAGGTAGAGTGGTGGCTGAGTTTACAAGTGAGGTGCTGTTTGGGTACAAACAGCGCCTCAGTTGTGCAAGTCAAGAAGTTGCTGCAGACGAATGGAAAGCTGTTGAGCATTAATTCAATATCATTGATACCCATGTACTAGTACACTCTGCCTTCACTAGTCAGACAATTCAGCACACTAGTAGAATGATGAGGAGGGACGAGTAGAACGACTGTCTTACTAATGTTTTATTACCCACTACAACTACGACTGAAGCACATGTTTACCAGCAGAATTTTATAAAGCCACTTGGAGTACTAAAGTTGCTTTCACTCATCAACTAATGCACAATTTTGCCCCACTAGTAACATGTAGCTGTCCCTCTAGTATCCCAAAGTCAGAGAAACGTCCTACTAATTGCGCACTTGTGGTCTGTAACTGCTTGCGATTAGCGCTTACTAGTAGTAAGAAAGCGCACAAGTACACACACTTTAAGCTGATAAAAAAATACTGAATAAACGCTCAAGTGGCTTTCCTTGAAGCCGTTTATTTTTTCGATAGCCTTAATTTCCAACTTAAGTGTGCAGAAATTTCATACAGTAGTGTGGAAGTGTAAAAAAAAAAAACTCGTGACTAAACAGTTATTCTGCTAGTGTGTCTAGCGCATTGAATTGTCTTACTACTTGAGCGTACTACATTAAAAGGCCGTTTAAGCATTTATTCGTGTCATTCTTGAGATGTGCTAGTACCGTAGTATGTTCTTTGTCTTTTCGAGTAACATTTTTTGTTTTACTAGCATGGACGTTTATAGCTACAGGTACCGTCATTTTTGGGACTGCTCAAGCACCCCTAAATTGAATTTCCCCCACAGAAAAATTGAGATTATCTGAGATTTTTTTTTTTTTTAATGTAGCCTTTTTAACCAAGATCGAGAAGTGTATTAACATACAGTACATTATTTAAGAATAATATTTTAACAAGAAAATTACAGCAACGCCCTCCTGCAACAAAAATGGTTTGTTCCACCCCATCCCTCCCACCTCTTAGTCTTAGTAACAAGGACAAAGTGTGTACTGGACCTTAAAATGGTTTTTAAAAATTGGCTTTTTCAATGATTTCATATAGTTTCCCCATCATGCAGGTAATGAAAGTTAGCTCAACTTTGAATCAGTTATCATTATTACAGGATCAAACCAAACGACTTTTGATTTTGTGCCTTGTCACCACTCTCACTGAACCGCTTGGATGTTCCACTTTAACATGATGCTTTGCACAAACTTGAAAAGATGATTTAGCAAAAGGGTTGGAAACATTGGAAATATATATATTTTAAGGTACGTTTTAAAGGAGGCAACAGGCCTGAAAATGATGCCAGCATTTACCTCTGACCTTTAAAAAGCTGCTCACCCATGACAACTCAGGTTGTTTGTATAATACTATGTGCAACCAACAGCACAATATCAAATGATGCAAGTTGTCTGTTTTCAATTACTGTACGGTAGTTCATTAAAATGTCGACAAAGCAAGTTACATGCACTCCAGGAATCCACTATATTTAAAAAGGGCACACAGGGACAAATATTTTGTCTTATTTCTTATACATTTGTACTTAAATATGTCTTCCAAATCTGCCTCCACTGTTTTGGCTGTATTTTATTCATGTATTTTTTCTTTCTGTGATGAATGTAAAACGTGTGATGTAAAAAAAAAAAAAAAATTAGCCTAACCTACAGTGCGTTGCATGAGAATCCATTATGTTCCAGAGTCATTCGTTTGTATTCATGTAAAGAATTGCCTCCTTCATTCAGGCAGTACCAACCCACTCCAGTCACACAATTGACATGTACCAGAAGGAAGCAAGAGGGACCACTGCAGCAGCTTATGGTCTGATAATGGCTAAAAGGTACTGCACTCAACAGGTACATAGGCAACAAGAACATGCGGCCGTCTGGTGCTCACCAGTTGGGAAATTGATTCACAATTCATTGCTTACTTACTGGACTGATTCATGTCCTCCAAGTGTGATTCAATTGGACTTTGTGATGATTACAGATTTTTTTTTTTTTTGTAGTTTTAGCGGTGTCCTTACAATTGATACTCCTGCCTCACTATTAATGGTAAAAAGGTTCCAAATGTCGGGTGTGTATAGTACAAGAGGTAGTTTGTGATGTGTGTCCAAAAAAAGAAACAAATATATTTTGTTTGTAAATTAAGTCTGTTTAAAAGCAATAGATATTAAAAATGTTTACATCTGTCAATTTTATTTCAACAAATACAAAAAAATTACTTGAAAACAGGCAAGCCTTTAAAAAGTATGCATTGACAAAAATTAGTTGGACACAGAAGCTGAGATAATCTTTACATCATCAACAGGTCGATCTTGCCCTTTGGTTTCCACCAGCCCAATCCGGTTCAGCACTCCCATCCCCTGGTGCACTCTTCCAAAAATGCTGTGCTTTCCATCCAGCCACTGAGTGGGTCTGAGGGTGAGGAAAAACTGACTTCCATTCGAATCTGGTCCTGCATTGGCCATAGCTATTATACCAGCACCTAACGAAAAAAGAAAAAAAAAAAGATGTAAAGCTCTAATTTTTGGTGTCAGAGTACACAGACAGTGCAACCTTAACTGAGGATGTTAATTTCAACACTCTTTAGAATTTCAATTGTTAGTCTTGCAAAACGGCATCGGTTCACCACATCTTCCACTTGTGTTTGCAGATTGAGCAATTGTGTGTTAAACTAAAGCTGTACGTGTATGCCGCAACACACTAATTGATATTAATTCCATTTTGTCACAAAAACCTAATTAGTATGCTTCAGCTGTTTTTAACGTTAGAAAATAGTGACGAAGTGCTCAACAAATTCCAATTGAAAGAACATAACATGCAGCTCATTAAAGACCACAGTTACTCTAAAGTCATGAATGTATCTTATTATATTTTTGGAACAGTGACGGAATTTATAATCATTTATTCATACCTCATTTCTGACTTAAGTGCTACTTACCAGTGAATTTCAGTTCTGGGTGGAGTTCATCTTCAAATTGTTTCCCAAATATGGAGGCACCACCACGACCTGAAAAATATATATCAAGACATCCATGAATAAAGTTATTATCAGCTTTAATTAAATCGTCAGGACGTTTCGTGACTTGAGCATTTGTCCATGGCCAGGTCCTAGATACATTGAAAGACAGATGAACCAACCTGTGCCTGTAGGGTCTCCACCTTGCACCATGAAGTTCTGTATTATCCTATGGAACTTTGTGTTATTGTAGTATCCTCTTCTAGCCAGTTCAGCAAAGTTTTTGCAGGTCTTGGGTGCATGTCTCCAGTACAGTTCCAACACAATTGTCCCCATCCTGCAGTGTAATGTAATTTTAGCATGTATGAGTTAAATTAATGTTTATGCAAGGCTTAACAAACCTAAACGGTTACAAATAAACACTTGAGACGTAAAGGGTAGATATACAATGTAAATAAATAGAAAGCAGTAGTACAGAACACAGCACAGACTGCTGCAAACGAGCGCGTTGTCGTAAATGTATCGTAAAAACATACGTCGTCTCCAGTGAAACAGTGGGAGGTTGCCATGTGTCCGGAGGTATACCTGACATTATACAGTATTATCCAAGCTATTAAAAAAAAAAACACACACACACAATTTTAACCACACTCAGTTGAACAACAAGCGACGCACGCTCATTCAAACACTCTCTGAGTGTTTCCGCTTCCGTGATTACGTCATTTCCGCCATCAGTCGACTTCAAGCATGAAGTCCAGTCCCTTATTGGACAATTCGACGTATGCTACATGGAAAATGTTAAGTCAGACTTCATCAGTAATAATATATAAGTACGTGACCCTGAGCAAGAACATTGTACTGGAAAGCCTCTCAAACTGTGGGTCCAAGTCGAAGGGGAAAAATAGTGCAGCCCTCTACCCTCGACTTCATCGACGCGTTTCAAAAGACGTCACTCGACAATAGCGACCCCCGTGGGGACACAGACTAAATGGCATAACATCAAGTTCACAACGAAAGAAAGTTTACAAAATTATAGACATTTATCTATATATATTTATTATTACGTTACTTTCGTTTGATGTAACACAGCGGGATTTGTACTGACTGCGCAAAGATATGCGACTATCCCCAGGCATGAAGTCATTGGTGATATGTTTGAGATGCTTGTAAGATGATATTCCTTTATTTATATAAATAAGCAACTCATGAAGGCAGGTTTGCTGGAGTTTAAAATGTGTTTTAAGGACTACAAAAAAAAATAAAAATAATAATGATCTTTGTTGTTTACATTCGAAATTAATGTGCAACGATTTTTCACTGATTTGTGATCATTGCAATACACTTTATTAATTTCTGCAATGCCGTGTGTCTACTATTAAATGGGAGTACGATCCACAGCCGTACGCATCTCTTGACTTCCTTACTATAATTTAAGGCTCCACTTTTAGTCCACGACAGTTGAGGTTTTCAACTACAGTACTGTCCCGCATACGTTTACTGAGGCAGATGCAGCTACTGTACTGGTGCACTTGAACTGTCATGTGACTAATCAGATGAGGACATCTAATCCAATAAAGAAAGGTGCAGCATGCTAAACTTGAAGCCAGGTCAAGGTATTTTTTTCGTGGAAGCCTCACATATAGGAAGGCGTAAATAAAAGAGGTGAGTCTGATATATCTTCTCAGAAAATAAATAGAATTTGATGTAGTTATTGTGCTTCTGCTTGGCACGTGGCTCAGTGTGTAGGTCCATGTTAAGAGATAGAGCTAGATTATATATATATAAATATAACTCATTCCTCTTTCTCGTCTATTTCAAAGTGCTCCATTATGTCCATTCTCAAAATTCATGCCAGGGAGATCTTTGACTCCCGTGGGAACCCCACAGTGGAGGTTGACCTTTGCACTGCTAAAGGTAAGTGGACTGAAAGGTGTGATTTTTGCTGAGGGTTATAACTTAATAGTTCGTTTTCTGTGGCATTCTTAGGCTTATTCAGGGCAGCTGTACCAAGCGGTGCATCCACTGGAATCTATGAAGCGTTGGAGCTGCGGGATAACGACAAGTCACGCTATCTTGGCAAAGGTTTGTGCTCTTTAGTTCTATCATGGAAAAATATGTTTTCTGATGCCAAAGGGATTTCTGAAACAAGTATCACAGGGGTATAAGACTTGCCTTTTGAGCATATTTGTTGTCGTCAAAGAAGAGGTAAGAATAACTCCAGAGCCTCATGGGGCCATATGGCAAAGAGTCTTAGAGTATTGTTAAACATTAGTCTGTATTAATTTACAACTAATTCGCTACCGACAAAGAGAGATTCTCCTTTCAGTGTTGTCTTTCTCTCTTATCACCTTGGCCTAGGAACTCAGTGCTAATAGTAGTAATAAGCTTTTCCGGCTCTGAAATATTAGATGTGAAGGGAAGTTATACTGTTTGAATGTTGTCTTTTCTCTGTATATTCTCCGTAATCACCCATCAAAGCTTTTCATGTTTTTTTAATGCTTCTGAACTATGACTGCATGCAATATTATGAGCACATATGAAAACTATCCACTCATTTACTGTATTTTCTAGACCACTTGATCACGTAACTAGAGCCTATCCAACTGACTTTGGGTGAGAGGCGGGGTACATTCTGCCCAACCTGCACTGGTCACCAGTCATTTGGAGGTCAAATAAAGACAAACGGCCATTGTAACTCACATTCACATTTTTGGGCCACGCAAACTCCACATTGAGATGTTCTAGCTATCAGAGATTCCAACCCAGATCTCCTGACTTTGTGGCAGATGTGATTCCTACTACCACACAGTCCTGCCCATATAAAAAAAAAAAAAGTTAAACTATCAATAAAACATATTATTGATAAGGTGTACCTTTTAATGCATTGAAATCTTTACTGAATACAAAAACAGTAAATTTTCACAGCACACAAAAGTTCCAGTTGGTGTCATGCACAAATATCACTGGTGAATGTTATGCTGATTATTTGACTGTATTCTTTGCAAAGATTTGATACAGTATTCACTTTGTTACCACAGGTGTCTCACAGGCAGTCGAGCACATCAACTCATCGATTGCACCTGCACTTGTTGGCCAAGTAAGAAATTCATCGTTCATTCACTGAATTTGCTTGCTTAATTAACTTCTCATTGTCACCATACTGGCTTGGTATTGACGCCTTCCTCATTCACTCCTTTTCAGGATGTAACTGTGGTCGAGCAAGACAAAATCGACCAGCTGATGATCGACCTGGACGGCACAGAGAACAAATGTAGGTGGCAGTCGTTATTGTCGCATCTTATAAACGTTTATTTATTTATTTTTAATGACCTTTTATTTTTCGTTCAGTATGGCCTTAAGCACCCGTGTAGTTAGACTGAGGTCACATGAGGAATTCCTGGTCGACTACAGAGCTTGTTTCTTTTCGCTGAAAAACATCCACTCGAATGCGATAGATATAGAATTCCAATTGACATGTCTGTAATGTTTCCTCATTTACTGTCAGAGTTTGTGTTTTGTTATTTTTTTTGTTGTGTTTTGTTTTTTAACTGTTTCTTCTTTATGTCCATCAGCAAAATACGGTGCCAACGCTATTCTGGGTGTGTCGCTGGCTGTTTGCAAGGCAGGTGCAGCGGAGAAAGGAGTCCCTCTATATCGTCACATTGCTGACCTTGCAGGAAACCCCAAGGTCATCTTGCCTGTGCCGGTGAGACTTTGTGCTGCGCATTTTTCTCACAACAGTATTTCCCCAAAAAGCGACCCGTGCAGTAATGGACACTGTGCCCCAATGAATCACCCCATGTCTTCCATTTGAATAAATCAACAGTGTACCTCAAATGTATGCTTCTTTTTTTCTCCTCAGGAAATAATTAATCAGTCGGTGGTGTAATTGTCCGAATTACCTTTACTCTTGACTGATACCGAGCCACGCTGCAGAATTGGCAAACAATCTTGCTACCCCAAGAACACCTTATCTCAAATACAGGCTGTCCCAGGGAACATATCTCGTATCATTTCATAGTCTCATAATATTCTCGCTCGAAAGAGGTCAAATTTTAAATCAGAGGTGTTAAAACTAACCAAGTTCAAAGGAGACATGCCTTTTTTTGGAATGAATGAATTGCATTGTGGATACACGTGTTAATTGTATTTCCTGTCAACTAGTGGAAGAGCTTTGAGGTTGTTCTGTCTGTCACTATATGTCACTGGCATAGAGAGATGAAAAATACTGAATCATTCTGGGACAGATGGAGTGAAATGTAATAATTTCTCAAGGCACACCTGATGACCTCTCACAGCACAGTGGTTGGGAATCAGCCACTTGGAGAGACGCGAGCTACTTCTTGCCGTCGTCCACTTTAGGAGGAAATATGGTGTATTTTTATGAAGTTGTTGCTTTATACCGCCTTTATTTGTCACCGCCACCAGGCCTTCAATGTGATCAATGGCGGCTCCCATGCAGGCAATAAGCTTGCCATGCAGGAGTTCATGATCCTTCCGGTTGGCGCCAGCACTTTCAGGGACGCCATGCGCATTGGAGCCGAGGTCTACCACAATCTCAAAAATGTCATCAAGAAAAAGTACGGCCAAGATGCCACCAATGTGGGCGATGAAGGTGGCTTTGCTCCAAACATCCTGGAGAACCAGGAAGGTAACTGCACTCGACTCAATGTTACCTATAGCCTCTTTCATCATATCCTGTCCTTTTTCTTCATATTTGAATGCATTGTTTGACACCGCAGCATTGGAGTTGATCAAGGAGGCCATTACCAAAGCTGGTTACACAGACGAGGTTGTGATTGGCATGGACGTGGCAGCCTCTGAATTCTACCGGGAAGGAAAATACGACCTGGACTTCAAGTCTCCCAACGATCCGTCTCGCTACATCACTCCTGATAAGCTGGCTGACCTCTACAAGAGCTTTGTGAAGGATTATCCAGGTCACCTCCTCTGAACACGATGTTTGTTTACACACTATTCAAGAGCACACATGTTTTTGGGAGTAGTTGGTGCTTATTTGTCCAAAAATGATTGATTGCCGTGTCAGAAAGCAGCTTTGTTGTTGCTCATAACCAAGGCGAATCATTCGACAGATGATGACTTGGCAAAAGTGATTCATATGTGGAGTAATTGTATGAGCAATTTGTTGAAATGACTCAATATCACAAATCATTTTTCCCCATTCCAGAATGAATGGAAATATCATTCAGCCATTCCAGCCGACCCCCGACAAAAAACAACAAAACATTGTTTAGTAGTAACATAATTAAATAGTATGTAACGAAATATGTAAACATTTTGTGCATCATGATTATTCCATTGCGGCTCATTCTGGTGTGCATGACTTGGCCACTGGGGAGCAGTATAATACAGTCATGCAGACAAAAATGAAATAAAAGAATTTCACAACTATTACTAGTCACTCATTATGCTGCAGTAATATTAGCCAGTTATTGCAGGGGATAAAGAATATTTGCCTGTAAATATTCTTATATTGTTTGTTTAACTTGTCTAGTTTGTGTTAAAATATCAGTTGCTTAAAGCGTTGTAACACTGCCACATTGATGCTAGTTGCTAGCCCGTCTATAGCATGTTTCGTTGTTTGTTTAGGCTAAGCCCTTTTTTAAAAGGCAAAGCTGTGTATTTGTTTTTAAAACACATCTTTGCTTTATATTTAGCTTGATCGTAAACTTTGACAAACACTGGCATTAACCGTTATATTGTAAATAAAAAAAAACCTAATAGTAAATTACACATTTTTTTCTATAGTTAACGCGCACACACACACACACACACACACACACACACACACACACACACACACACACATATATATATATAGGTATTTTTTTTTCAATATTATTGTATTATTAAGATCAATATATTAAAAAATAGTCTTCATATACATTTCATGTCAAATGTGACTCTTGATCACTAACCTTTACCCACGCCTGGTTTAAAATCACCAGACTTGTCTGAACTGCTATTAATATCCTCGCAAAATTTCTGAACATGTCTCATTTCACAGTGGTGTCCATCGAGGACCCGTTTGACCAAGACGACTGGGACGCTTGGAGCGACTTCACCGCCAGCACTGACATCCAGGTTGTCGGAGACGATCTCACTGTGACCAACCCGACTCGCATCTGCAAGGCAGTGGAGGAGAAGGCCTGCAACTGTCTGCTGCTTAAAGTCAACCAAATTGGCACCGTAACAGAATCTCTGCAAGCGTGAGTTGACGTCGGTTTGGCTGTAATTTATCAGTTAGGTAATGCAACGTAACAATCTAATAGGCCGTATCATCTGGAGGGAATGAATGATATCTTCCTGGTCTTTCAGGTGCAAGATGGCCCAGGAGAGCGGATGGGGAGTGATGGTGAGCCATCGCTCTGGAGAGACCGAGGACACCTTCATCGCAGATTTGGTGGTCGGCCTGTGCACTGGACAGGTAGCGACACCACGAGCAATTAAATTCCAAAATACTGTCTTAAGGAACAAACCCAATAGCCCGACACAAAACTTTTTTCACACTTTTAGATCAAGACTGGGGCACCTTGTCGCTCTGAGCGTTTGGCCAAATATAATCAGATTCTCAGGTGAGTCTCAAGGAAACATCCATCCATCCATCCAATTCTATACCATTTCTAAAATGGGGAAAAAAATGCAAATGACATGTCATTATTAATAATTAATGATCATTTATGTGAAGACACTGGTCATGTTATGGATTCCTCACACTTATGACAAACATTGATTTACCAAGGTAGAAAAACAATGAATGTCAGCACGCAACTCTTCATTTCTCTACAGGTTATTATTTGACTCATTTTCAAATGATTACTTCTACATCATTCCTAGGAAATCACAAATACCCATCTCTGGTGAGATATTTTCGAAACAGGCCCATGGGCTACTCATTTGTACCATCTCCAAGCCTGATCCAGAACTTTCTACTCAACTGTTATTTAGAACAGCTGTTGTGGAACGTTTTACATGCAACACCAGCTCCAAAAATACTTTGCTCACAATGTACTGCCATACTAACATGAAAATACAGTAATATAGTAAGCCGAAGCATTCATCAAAAAATGTGATAGATGTTTTAGCCTTAAAATGTGTTTTAAAAGCTATTGTAACCTTGTGGGGGTGATGGGTGCCCCCTGCCAATGCAGAGTTTGAATATTAACACTGCATTTAAATATCGGAAAATAAATTACTTGAGCAACTCAATTAAAAATGCATTGCACAGAAAATGTACTTCCACTCTTTAAACAAACAGTTGAAGATTAAATGCAAGTATATGGTATTTAAAAATTAAGTACAACTTAAATGTACTTACGTACTATACATGAAAAGTTAAAAAAACAACAAAAATCACTGTACTGGATTTAAAAAATAATATTTAAATAGGCCGCATGCTTAGCTATGAGCAGCATATGAGAATATGTTTGATTTAAATGTTATTTGTATTTAATTCAGTGATTCTTTCATGTACCACTAGAGGGAGCCCACATACTACTAGTGGAACTCACAGCACACTGAATCACATACAGTATTTAGAACACTGGGCATATATTGAGTAGAGAGTATGAATTATTTTGGACACAGGAATATTTGCCATGTTTTATTTGAGCTTTTTTGTGCCATCTACAGCTGAAGAACACCCACACAATAAATACAAACGGGCTTTAACTGAACATTTTGCCAATTCATGAATATTTTTCCCCATTTTAGAAATGGTATAGATTGGTTTAACTGTACTGTATTGTCTTTGGATTTAATGAAATAATTTGAATGTATTGTAACTAACTGCTCAAGGGGAAATTCACTGTTGTCTTTGCTGTACAATATATCTTTGCTGAGCACCACTCAGAGATGTCATGTTATCCAATGCCTCGTGCATTCATGCGTTAACACCACTTGACTTCAAACACCACAAAGAACTAAATGGCCTGCATGCCGACAGGAGAGTGCTGTCAAAGTGGTGTCGCAGCTCACCGGTGTTGCATGCCTGAACTTCTGCTGCTTCTGTCTTGCTCAAAGGCACAAATAATCAGTGTGTGAAAATAATTTGATGTGTTTTTTATTATAGAATTGAAGAGGAGCTGGGAGACGAAGCATTTTTTGCGGGGAAAAACTTCAGACAGCCATTGGCAGAGTAAATTTACGCCCAAAACTAGGAAATGCAAAAATCATGATAACCAAAGATGAAGCACTGAAAATCAAAATGAGTATTTTTTTTTAAACATCTGTAGTCAAATAAGATTCCTTCACCGCTACAATAAACTAGTGACAAGAATGCCTGCTCTTGCAGATATACTCAATAAAAGACTTTATGACACAATGTTTTATGTGTGTGTGTGTGTGTGTGTGTGTGTGTGTGTGTGTGTGTGTGTGTGTGTGTGTGTGTGTGCGTGTGTGTGTGTGTGTGCGTGTGTGTGTGTGTTTAATGTGTCCCATGACTAACTTATTATTTGTGTTACATTAATGAAAGATTTCAACAATAAAGGGATGCATTTTTAAGGTAACAAAATGAAAGTGGGTAAATTTTAATTCCAAATAAGATTTGCTTGCGGAATGGATGCTGGTACTTTGTCGTGAACTGAGTCCTCAATACCCAGAAAAACCTGATGATACGTACAAAAAGCTAATTATAAAAAGCAAAATTATCTCGGAACAATTTTGTACTAAAAATTTGTTTTAGAAGCAATGCACATTAAATATAAAACCCTTTCACAGCCAAATTAGCATTACATTCCGGGCCAAAGGGTTTCTGCGGTTATTTTATATTTACACATCAGCTGAGGTTCCCAGTGCATTGTGGAAATCGGGTTGGTGGCACGGCAGCATTAATTGTACTGCACCCACAATGTAGGCGCGTGGAGAAAAAGAAAGAACCTATCAAAAACCTATTGTGTCATGAAAGCAAAAATGCAGGCAACAACAAGCTATACTTTAATCAAACCAATTTTCCTCAGGCCTGAATAATATTGTGTACTTGTGAGATGACGGTTAAACTTTTAGGAAGCGTAAAAGAAGTACAACTCATTCCTATGGTAACCTAAACAAACACATCACCCACCATTCATTGTACTCGCATTCCTTATTTGTCTTCTGAAATAAAGCCTAATATTCTACTACAAATATATCATTATGAATGATAAAGGGTAGCATTACACATGATTTTATATTATCTTCAATAAATATAATAAAAGGGCCATATCAATAATAAAATGCATCATGATAAAAATTGGGTATCACCTGTTTTTGTGCTATCATTCCAATCAACTCAAAGACTGCAATGCGTAGGGAAAGAAGATCCAAAGTAGCTGTATTACAAATCGTATCTCTACTAAGATAATTGTTCAATTTTGATACTGTCAGAGAAACAAAAAAGGGAAAAGTTATTCACATCCTGACAAGATATTGAGCTGAATTGCCGTCACATAACTTAAAAAAAATAAAATGAAAGGATTATTATAGTAAGACTTAATCCCCAGTGGAATGCAGGAATTAACAACAAACCAGCCTCTAATTAATGATTATGAAGGGCACACCTCTGAAATATCAAATTTGCTCATATTACCTGTAGTTGTATTGATATTTATACAGTATATACGAAGACACTGGACATGTTAATTAACTTTGACAAGAATGACAAACACTGATTTCACAAAATAGGAAATGCACAAATATAAATATGCGATACTTCTTTTCAATACATTTTTTCAGGTGTTTACATTTTCAAACAACATGGCTACAATGTTGCTAAAAAAATCACATCCCGGTCACTGGTGACTTTTTAAAAAAATTTTTTTAGAAGAGGACTTCTGGGCCAGAGGTTGGTGACCCGTTTATTGTTTATTGTACAGTAAGAAAAATGAAAATTATTATTAAATTTCGCTGGCGTCGGGCGGAATCCTTGTACTTCCAAAATCATCATTTTTAAGGAGACCCCAAAACGGCATGTTTGTTCAACCATAAATATTGATTGCATCGTCAGGGTATGCTAATTTTAACACTTTATTTTACTACTACGATGTCAAAATAACATCCAACCGTGTGGAGTGACCAATAACATAGATTTGTGGGGAAAAAAAAATCAAATTGAGCAAATTGACACCAGCGATATATTTCATATTCAGATTGTTGACTCTCTGTTCATCGTATTACCGCTTTCCACTGCCATCATATCCAAGTCCTAAGGTGCGAGCGAGGCTGCACCGACATGCTCAGTTTGTGTACACTCGACAAGTTTGAAGGCTGCGCTGTGTGGGGGCCGAGGTCATTGCACTGGAGAGAAGAAGAAGAAAAAAAAAACCTCCCTTCGCTACAGCGCCTCCATTTTGAATAGCCATGTAATAGGGGATTGGCATAGTTAGTGTGAGTGCAAGTGTGTGTGTGTGTGTGTGTGTGTGTTCGTGCGCGCGGCTGTCGCTCCGCTGAGCTGCGTAGTGTCAACAACCTACAGTCGAACAACCGTCGACATGGACGACCTGTTCAGCCCACGGAGGTAAATAACTTGCTTCTTATAATCCCCCTCTGCATTCTCTGTCTTGTTGTGGACTGGATTCCCTTCGGGGTTTGCATTGGCGAGAGGCCACTTTGCACGGAGCGCTCGGCTTGTCAGCAGTCACGAAGTTGTGGCTAACGAGCTAGCCAAAATAACAGCTCGGGCGCTAATGTCACGGTCCCTAGCTGCTAGCCAGCCGTTTTTTTGATGCTACAATGCGATACAAATGGCGACATAGAGCAGTTAGCACACGTCAGCCACGTTGTGTGGCGTTGTGTGTTGTTTGCGCATACGTTGGGTGCCTCGGCTGTTAAAACGCCATTTGCAGTTGGTATATATTTACATACGCGAGTCGCCTCACACACACATACACATTATTATGATATGTTAAGTGCATGCTAACATCAAGAAGCAATGTGGAGTGCCCGTCGGACTAGGTCTGAGGGCCGACGCGTTTTGAAGCACACAACAAGCTTCTGTTCCTGTAATGGTGACTCCAGTTGTGGTGCGAGAATTAACAGCCCGAGTGCTGGCGTGATTGATTGACAGGCCTTCGCGGCCGCTGGCGTCAGCTTTCGCCTGGCCTAATGTCAGGAAACGTCAGCTGGGGGCGGCTCCCATTGGCTGAAAGCGACGTGTGGGCGGGGCGCCGCCTTTTTAACGAGATGACTGAGCAGATGAAGAGGAGATAATCAGCTGAGAGCAGCGATCGCACGCTGTGCGCCCTGATTTCTCCGTGTTCTTCTTCACCAATATGACACTGTCATGATGGGGGATTTATGGAAGCAAACGTATTGATTACCATTCACCCCTCCATTTTATTTTTAAGATTTTTACATGTCTTCTAGGAGTTTGAACAACACTCAAGGCGAGATAAGAGTGGGACCAAGTCATCAGGTAAACAAACTATGGCTGTGTTGGAAATAACTCCCTGTACAGTGGTGCCTTGAGATTTAGTACATCTTTACCAATTTAAATGAATAGAAATACTGTTATTCTGCTCCAATATCTAACCCCAAAAAGCAAAATTACTTGAGTCATTTTTTAAAAACTCTTTCAATGCCAGCCATCAAAGAAAATAGAACCTGTTGAGTCCCAGCCATGTTAAAGCATTTTGACTGGTATTGCAAGGCTCACAGAATATTGTTTTTTGACGACGTCAACACCGAAACCAAATGAAAAAGTAGATTCTCTTCTTTTATCACAAAGAAGTTTTGTTTCTATCATGTTCCTTTTTTTTTCTAGTAATCAGCACTAGAACTTGTGTTGGTTTCACCAAAATCAAATATTTTGGACAAAAAAAAAACCTCAAAGAGTTAATAAGGAAAGTGGCACATTATAATATTGTACTTTATAAAAACATAGACTAATAGCATAATTAATCAATCAATAGCATTGTTTTTAGATGAGAGAAGTCATACACGTACCCAACAATGATGTAGCTGCGTGGACTCTTCATTTTAGCCTGCAAGAGCCTATAAATAATGATGTAAATGTATTGTTTAGCATTGAACAAATCAAATGCAATCGAACAGAGCATGCCCTTAGTCGATATTAAAATGGAGACTGGTGCACCTCAAATGGAATGGCCTGTGCTTTCTCCAGACCTAAATCCTATTGAAAACCTGTTGGATCAGCTGAGTCTACGTGTAGAGGCTCAAAACTCTGCACCCCAGAACCTCAGTGACCTCTGAGGGCTGCCCTCCAAAAAGAGTGGGATGCCATGCCTCAGCAGACAATAAGTCGACTTGTAAACAGCATGGGACATCGTTGTCAAGCTGTAATTGAAGCTCAACGGCACATGACGAGCTATTGAGATGTTGACATTTTGTTGTGGTGTACACACCATTGTTGTTAACTTTTGTTTCAATTAATTGTTTGAGATGAGGAAATCACCAGTGCATCATTCCACTTAAATGTCCTACTTTCATGATTTATGTAACTGCAGTGCAAACAAATTGATTCACATACATGTCTATCTATATTTCTATATTCATTTAAAACAATTGATACACGCTCTTTTTTCTTCATGCATTGCCTAAATATCAAAATCGGGACTCTGCATCGGCAGATACTTAAAACCAAAGACTCGGATTCTGACTCGTGTGATACGACAGCGTGAGTGGGACAAACCAAAGACTCGGATTCTGACTCGTGTGATACGACAGCGTGAGTGGGACATCCCAAGTTTGAGTGCATTTGATTTATCTAATGATAAACAATACATCTACATGGTTATGTATTGGCATGCACAGGCTAAAATGACAAATCCACACAGTTATGTTGTCAGTGGGTATTATCTGTGACTTCTCTCATCTACGACACTATTGATTTATGACCTTGTTAAATGCAACCAGAGGGGAACCAGGTTGCTTGTCACCAAAACAATGTAAACTGTTAAACTTATATTTGAAGTGAGATCATTTGCACGAGTCATGATAGCTAACCTGTCTGACTTTCTCAACTCTTAGGCAGTTCAGTGAAGCCACTCGATATCAGGCAAGGCAGACTTAGGCCGTTTTTTTTTTTGGCATACCCTGAGCGTTAAACATTACTTAAACAATTTACTTTATGATGTGCTGCACTGTTTACAGACAGAGCCTTTTTGTGTGCGTGTGTGTGCGCGCGTGTGTGTTTCCCAACCTTTATTGAGTGATAAGATATTAGAAAAATCTTACGTCATTATATTGCATAATGTACTTCATTTAAAGTAATTTTAACATCACGATGAAACATACATTGCATGTCAGTTGTAATGAATATTTTTCTAGAACCCTTACCATTTTTGACCATTTTTCCATCACAATTCAGAATTGAGTTCATGGTCTGGAAGCAGATTTTTACTGAATTCTTTGTTTGGTTGCTGTGTTGCAGGCAAAGCTTCCTGAGCTGCAGCCTCGGCCTGCACCAGCTTCCCATTCTCAGACGGAGAGTGAGGAGCTCATGTGGACACCTGGGGTCAATGACTGCGACCTTCTCATGTACCTGAGAGCTGCCAGGTCAGTGTCACTGACACGATCAATTCTAATGAACTTACCTTGTGAACTTCAGCACTTCCAAGGCCCATGGTGGAGTTATTACTTCCTGTAAATACTTCAATCTTTTCAGTTGTGACGGCACAGCTGGCAGTTCTCCCAAAGCAATTGTGCACTCCTGCACAAAATAGTGCATATCAGTACTGTTTCACTTTTTTTTTTATCAGTACCCCCAGGAATCTGCAAAGCAAAAGTGTTGATTCCACAGAGATTAATCCTGATTCTGTAGAGAGCAAATCTTGATTCCAATCCAATGTGAGGGGCAACAATCTTTTTTTTTAACATAATAACATTCATTTTCTCCTAGGTGGGACAGATAAAAAAAATCTTGTTCTAGTCGCATATGGGTCGAAAATGACACAAGCGTCTGTATTGTATTTGTTTTCTAAGGAGCATGGCGGCGTTTGCGGGTATGTGTGATGGAGGATCCACAGAGGATGGATGTTTAGCCGCCTCTCGTGACGATACGACGCTCAACGCTCTTAACATGGTAGAGAGCTCAACTTGTGTTTATCATGATCCTCATGTACGATTAAAAGATGACTTAACGTTACACTGCAATTCCCTCCTAGTTGCATGCAAGTCATTACGATGCTGCAAAAGCTCTCCAGCGTCTGGTGAAGAAGCCTCTGCCAAGGCTTATTGAGAAATGCTGGTCTGAGGATGATGTGGTGGGTTGCAGCTGATCAGTACCACTATCATTTTGTTACATAAGTTATATAAATAAGCGTTAAGGTGAAAACTATAAACAAAGTTAATTATAAAAATTAGAATTTTAAGCAGCACTTTTTAAACAGCAGAAGGTAGTAGCAGATAATCTTTTTTTTTTAAAACGAATTATATTTATAATATAATTTATATATGATGATCTCACTTTTTAGAAACGCTTCATCAAAGGCCTCAGACAGTATGGAAAGAACTTTTTCCGGATTCGAAAAGACTTCTTGCCCAGCAAAAAGACTGTAAGTGAGCACTTTAAGAAAACGCTATAATTTCTTAACACACTCCATTCGACTAATAATATAGCATCCATCCTTAAAAAATGGCCTTTGCATCACCAGGGAGAGCTGATCACATTCTATTACCACTGGAAAAAAACTCCAGAGGCTGCAGGAACGCGAGCTTATCGACAACAACGCAGGCAGCCGTCGTCTCGAAAGGCAAAGACCCGCTCAGCTGCTGCTCCCGTGAGCGCCCCGTCTCGAAATTACTCTGGTGAGTAATTCTCTTTCTCCGTTCATCCCTATGTTGCAATTTCACTTATACTGTTGCGTCTCCTCTCCAGTGGATGCAAGTTCAGCCAGTGAGGACGAACTTGACAGTGAAGATAGTGAACAGGAAGTTAAGAGCTGCAGCCACTGCGGTACAACACGTGCGTATGACTTATCTTGGGAACGTTTATTTACAACTGCAGCTTTTAAGAGTGTATTTTCTTCAAAACAGGTTCTAAGGATTGGCACCAAGGAGGGAGATACAACCCTTTGCTATGTACAACCTGCCGCACGTATGAAAACAAGCACGGCTGTCTGCCGCCGGCACAGAAGTCTTCGGGCGCGTCATTCATGTTTAAACCCGTGAAAGGGGAAGAGGAGGGGAACAGTAAACACGGCATGAGGACACGGCGAAGCAGAGCACCTGTAAGCGTGACACTCTTTGTCAACATTGATTAACATTTACATGCAGGTGATAGTGGGACGAAGTTGGTAAAAAAATGTTGCTAGTTTAGTCATGTAACCGGAGTTGTTTTTTTTTCCTTCCCTCCCCATTGCACATACAGCAGTTGTCATCTTTAAGAAGCGGCCACAGGAGACTCACCGGCTCTCCCACGAGCGAGGATCAACAAAACATGCCCCAGAATTCCCAGACCGGGATGAGAGCATCTACCACAGACAGTAAGAATGACTCCACGAAGAAGAATAACAAGGTAAACACCCTCTTGGACTGAAACAATCAAAGTCAAGCATGTCACTGAAATCCATACGTGGGCGTCTTGAGATACATATTAATTGGTTCATGACCACGCTCGTAACTCAAAATGTCTCAAATCAACTTTCTTAAAGGAATGGAAATGTCATTTATATGTTTTACCCTCCCCCAAAATACCAAAAGAATTCAATAGTGTCTGGCTTACTGCCTCCTTCAAAGCACATTGTGCTCCCTTGCTGGTCTACATGCATACAGATATACAAGTCGCTCAATAAAAAATTTGCATATTGTGATAAAGTTCATTATTTTCCATATCGTAATGATAAAAATTCAACTTTCTTATATTTTAGATTTATTGCACACCAACTGAAATATTTGAGGTCTTTCATTGTTTTAATACTGATGATTTTGGCACATAGCTCATGAAACCTCAAAATTCCTATCTCAAAAAATTAGCATATGACAAAAAGGCACTCGAAAGGAGCTATTCACCGAATCATCTGAATCAACGAGTTAACTCTAAACACCCGCGAATCATGCCCGAGGCTTTTAAAAACTCCCAGCCTGGTTCATGACTCAAAACCGCAATCATGGGTACGACTGCCTACCTGACTGCTGTCCAGAAGGCTACCACTGACACATTGTAACGGTCACAAAGTTATCAGATTCAGATTTGAACAGCCTTCAACATCTGATAAGAGTCTTCCACTCGTTTTCCAGAAGGTGAAAGAAGAGCCAGCCACACCAAAGACAATGAAACGAGTGCGGGAGAGTCCTCCTCAGGAGCTTCACGAGCCTGAAAAAATCAAACCCAAAAGGCCAAAGACTCAGGTAAGAAACAAGCAGCAAACAGGTGGAAACCTTGACTCCTGTTTGTAGTACTGTAATTGTTAGTTGTGTGACACTGTCACATGTTTTTGGCCGTGCCTAGGAGCCGCAGGATTCCCGTTCCGAGGTGGAGGCCGAGGTGGAGGAGGAGAGCTCCTCAGAAAGCCGCAGTGCTCAGGACGATGGCAGCAGCGACACCAAAGACATCGATCAGGACAACCGCAGCTCCTCCCCCAGCATTCCCAGCCCTCAGCAGGGCAACGAGAGCGACTCCGACTCTTCTGCCCAACCGAGCGCGATTCCCCCGAAACCTGCCGCACCGCCGGCCGCCCAGGCCGACACAGCGGTCCCGCAGGCCCCTCCCTCTCAGGGCCCAGCTGTCATTCCACCGCAAAGCACTCCCAATTCTGGCTCACCTCCTAGTCAGCCCTCTGCATCTCCAGACCCACCTCAGCGAGCCGCTGACGAGTCTGCTGTCAATTTGGGCCCGAGCAACCGACCTCTGCCCACCCCTCATTCTCTCTGTGGTGCACTGCCGCTTCCACTCCCGGTGGGGCAGGACTCGCCTCTGTCGTCTGCATTTCAGGTGCCACCTGCTCTCAGCTCGGTGTCCTCCCAGTTGCCACCAACCCAGAGACCCCCACCCTTCTTTAGGGAGTCACAGCTGCCTCAGCCTCCCCTTTCCGGCCCCCAAATCAAGCCTCCTCCCACCACCCCGATTCAACCTTCCCACAAGCAGATACCACACCAGCCCGCTCCAACCTTTCCCCAGATGCCCTCCAACCTGCCTCCTCCACCTGCTCTAAAACCTCTCAACTCTCTGCCCAATCAGCATCCTCCAGGCGCGCCCCCTCCACCTCTTCAGCTGATGCCCCAGTCTTTGGCCATGCAGACGCTTTCCGGCCAGCTTCCGGTGATTTCTCAGGCGCACGCTCACCCTGGAAAGAGTACCAGTTCCCCTCATCCATCCAGCGCGTCCTCGCAGGCTCTCCCCTCCGCTACCCCGGCAGCATCAGTCGGCCCCGTCCCCAGCGGGCAGCCAGCCTTCCCACCTACTGGGCTGAGATCATCGCCGAGCGCTACGGCGGGAGCGCCTCAAATACAAATAAAAGAGGAGCCGCTGGATGAGATGGAGGAAGCAGAGAGCCCACCATCTCCAGCTCGCAGCCCTTCGCCAGAGCCTACCATCATCAACATGGCCAGCCACGCCAGCCAGTCTGCACGGTGTGTCTTCACTTTTTCCGCACTCTGTAAAATGTGTCTGAACATATTACAGTGATCCCTCGCTACTTCGTGGTTCGTTTATCGCAGGTTCAGTGCATCGCCGATTTTTTTCAAACATATTAAAAAAAATATCTATATATATATAT